CGAATCACCACCTGAAGATTCAGAGCCATGCGAACCGAGCGAAATGCTCGAAGCAGATGAAGGGCCTGATGAACTCGATTTGCTTTTTGAAGAACTCAACCGAGAAGATCCGGAAGCTCCTGTGGAAGAGATTGACAGCCTTGTGCCGGAAATCTCAAAAATGAAAGTAGAGCCTGCTGAAGTGTCAGCAGGGGGGGGAGCCCGGTAACCTTTTCAAACGTGAAAAAATCAAAGTTTCAAGGGTTTCTGCACAAGATGGTCCAGACTCGGGGGAGAAGCACATGGAAAGAAGTCCAACCTCGGGGGAGTTCATCGTCAGAAACGTTAGCTTGACACACCTGTTGAAGGTCAAAGATGATCAACACCTTGGAGTTGTGGAAGCCATTAAGGAAGAACTGTCAAATGTTCCAGTGGATCCCACAAACGGTTTCATACAGGGACAAGTTCTACGACTTCTACAAGAACATCGTGAAGATTTGGAAGAAGAACTGGAAGCTGTGGCAACTGCAAAGGTTGAGGAGGAAAGGCGAGTGTGCCAACTAAGGGTCTGTTCAGCACAAGCTGATGGTAGCGGTGGAGAAGAACAACTTCAAACTGTTACAGTCCCTCTTCACAAGGTGAGGATGGAAAGGGAAAAGTGGTACGACTCGATGCTCGCCGAGTACAAATCATTGACTGCAGAAACAAAAGCTATCCGACCAGTCAAAAGATCCGAGATTGACCCTGAAGCCGAGTTGGTGCCGGGGAAATTGGTCTGTGTGATCAAGGCTGGAGGGAGATACAAATGTCGCGCTGTGATCTGCGGCAACTTGGCATCACCGGAAGCGGATCCCATGCCTTCATCTCTGCTGTATGCCAGTGGAGCGGATGGGGTTCTGATAAGGTGTGCATTGCGAAAGGCAGCTCATCACCAATGGGATGTAGCCACGACGGACATCAAGACCGCTTTTCTACTGGCTCCTCGGCCGGTGGAACAAGGTGCCAAAACCGTGGCGGTGGTTCCGCCCAGGATCATGACTGATTTTGGGATTACCCAACCGGATGAAGTCTGGCTTGTCGACAAGGCCCTGTATGGGTTTCAATCCAGTCCTGCCCATTGGGCAGTGTACCGCGACCAAACAATGCGGCGGTTCACATGGCAGGGAGATGCAAGCCCGGGGGAGATGCAGAAGGAGGACAAGCTGGAACAAACGCCGGAAGGAAATTTGTGGAGAATCCTGTGTAAAGGTGGTGACGCTCCGGGAGAAGAAGTACGTCCTGATGGATATCGGCAAGTGGGTTTGGTGGTCGTCTATGTGGACGATCTTATGGTTCTTGCGGAACCTCACGCCAAACACAGCTTCTTGAAGAGGCTGAAGGAAGAATGGACTTGCTCCACTCCTGAAGAAGTTGATCACAAAGGCTGGGTTCGATTTTGTGGGTTCGAGCTCCAATGCAGCGGTCAAGGGGATCACAAGAAGTTGAAGGTGGGACAGCAGTCCTACACTCGGGATCTGTTGAATCGACATCAAGTAGAACACCCAAGACCGGTTCCGATGACGAAAGCGGATGCCGAACTTCCGGAAGAAGAACAACCAGCACTTGAAAACATTCGACAAGCTCAAACGGTGGTGGGCGAGTTGTTGTGGTTGTCCATAAGGACAAGGCCGGATATCAGTTTCGCCGTCAGCCAATTGGGAAGGCAGGTGAACAAACGGCCCAAATGGGTGGTGAAAACCGCACAACAGGTGTTTGGTTACCTGAAGGGAACCGAAACTCAACATCTCAGCTATGGGGTTTGCACAAGTGATGATCGTGGTCCCGAAGATGATCTGCCATTTCACCGGGAGATGCAGCAAGTCGAAATGTTCTCGGACATTTCATTTGCCCCTGCGGGCGAAAGATCACTGCAGGGTATCCTAGGTTTTTATGGTGGAGGGTTGGTTCAATGGGAAGCCAGCCGTCAAGCTTTTGAAGCTTTTGTGGTGTTGAGCACCGCCGAAGGGGAATTGATGTCCTAGTTGGAATCCATGGTCATGGGAGATTCTCTGGCATCTCTCATAGAGGTCGTGGAAGGACGGAAAATCGGGCAGAAGATCATCTACGGAGACAACACGGCTGCAATAGCCATCTTGGAAAATCCTGACGGTCCGTGGAGGACTCGGCACTTGCGGTTGCGAGCAACAGCCCTAAGGGAAAGGTTAAAGGATGGTAGTTGGATCATCCGTCACCTTCCAGGGGTGAAACTTGTGGCCGATTTCCTGACAAAGATCATCGCGGTGAAGCCAAGCTGGGAAAGGTTCTGGAGGTTCGTCAATCACCAAGGTTCCGGGGTTCCAAATGAGGAACCATTAACGGGGTCAAACCGTCGTGAAGAACAACCTCCGGGAGAAGAACAACATCCAGAAGAACCAGACCAGGAGACTCCCTCCTGGGACAACTACCGAGACATCGCTGGTCGGTGCGTATCAGTGGTGAAAAAGGTGGTTGGTCTGGCCGAGGAATATCCAGAACTAGCCGATTTCCGGCATGAAGCCCTGAGCACTGCCATTGGAAGGCTGGTGCAAGTACTGGCTGATGCGCGTCGCGTCACTGAATCCGTGGTCAAGGATCGGTTCCAGTTGGAGTCGGTCTTACCATTTTTGGAGAAGAAGAACATTCCTGGACAAGTTGAACACCCTGTAGAAGAAGAACCTAGGGGTATTCTAAAACGGGGTAATAGATCCAAAAGGGGTAACTCAAAAACAAAAAGGGTTCATTTTTGGGATGAAAGTCCACCAATTTTGAAAGTTTTGCAGGTACAAGATCATCACGGTCATGTTCCCCAAGAGCACAGTGCTGGAAAAGTAGAACACTTCCATAAGACCATCCAGGGAGGTGGACAAGGGAACCATTGGGACTTGGATCTTGCCAGGTCCAAGCGAAAAGAACATCGAGCTGCTGAAGGTGTACCAAGGTCGGGTCCCACAGAAACGAGGGATCAGGTAGCAGTTCGAGGGATGGAATTTTTGGGGAGTGTGGTTAAGATAGATGAAATACAACTTCATGGTAAACCATCAAAAGGGATAGCTCCGCAACCAAAGGGAACTCAAGGCGATCAGAAGGAAAAAGAAGTCCGGATCCTATTGCAAGTGGGAACCGAAAAAGAAAAAGAAAAAGAAGAACTAAAAAAGGATAGATCGCCGGGAAAAGTACATCGGTGGCTGGAGAAAAAGATCATCAAGACCCAAGGAAAAGATCATTAGCTGCCGGTGGAAAAGATCAATACAGGGAAAAGATCATCAGCTGCTGGACCCAAAGAACACCGTTGGGCGCTCTTCGAGGACAGCGCTGGTGAGAGAGGGAATTCAAAACCTACGAAGTTAGGGCTGTAGTTTTTCAATTTTTGGAGTCAACCCGAAGTGGAACTCCACGCGACCCTTGGATGAAGGGGGAACCAACACCAGCCTGGGACACGAGGGTCTTCGCCCTTCTGGCTGGGGGAAGGGCGAGTTCCCAGTGGAAACGTGGCCACCCCTGAAATTGTTGTTTTTGGTGTTGGGGAACCTGGATTCCTGCAAGCAGGAAGGGGGAGTGCGGTTGGGAAACATGCACAGAGTACCACTGCACCCCCACTAAGGTCTTTTTAAGTTTTTCACAGTCGTTGAGACGTCCTCCGACTGTTGCAATTTGGCTCAAGGCTCAAGCCATTCAATTGGCTCAAGGGCCAATCAAACTAACTGGCTCAAGATCACCGAGCCCAACTTGGAGTGAAAAGGTGCAGCGGCATCTGCCTCTTGGTGGGGACCTCCGGGAAGGGTCTCGGTCTGACTTTAGAAACCCGTGGGTACAATCTAAAAAGAATGATGTTTGTCCCACCAGACTTGGCAGCCTTTGTGCTGAGGCAGGGGCATGCCGTTGATCGTGTCCATCTTCTTCGAGGCTTTGCTGATGGCGTCGTTCGCCGAAGTCAACACCTCCAACAAACCCAGAGTATCAGAGTAGAAGCGCCGATCTACTAGCCTGTTTGGTTTTAAGGCTGATCAACTTATCAGTTTCAACCCAATTCCCAACTATATATAATTTTATTCAAACTATTCCTGTGAGTGGATGTCCACAGAGTGGGATGATTGGGGTGTGGACTGTCAACCCTATGGCCTATATACCTTTTTGCCTTCAAGAGTGCAATTCTTCAAAGATGGAAGTTACAACATGTTTGCGCACAAACTCTTGATGTACTGCTGGCCTTCTTTGCAGCTCCGACTTCCTTGCTTTCCTCTTTGTCCTTCTCTCTTTTCTCTTCCTTGTTTTTCTTTTCGGCTTCTTTCTTCATGCGCTTGTCCTTTTGTTCCTGAGTTTCCTCCTTCGCGGCTTTCTTATCTTTCTTTGCCTTTTTTCCTTTCTTCCCTTTCTTCTTCTTTTTCTTGTCCTCAGAGTGGTGGAACTACCACACTAGTACTAAAGTGATTGTTCCAAGCAAAAAGGAAAAACATGATGCGTGCAAAAGCACGCTATATCACAGGTTGTGTCAACACAGCTTGGTGGGAAGTATTGCGTATGCAACATATGTTTACTATGTACTGTAATATAAATCTGGAAGTTGTAACCTGCAAGATCCAAGAGTATTTAATTTAACATGGATGAATACAGTAAGTACATTAAATAAGATTTCGATCATTGAATATAGTCTGCAGTAATCACATGCATGCTTACGAGATATGTGACGACATATATGTAATAAAAAGCACATGTAAAACATGCATGCATGTATATATATATATATATCTTATACAAATAAAATGGTTTAACAAACGCCTTTGCTTATGCACATGCACACTATTGACATCTTTTGACTTTAACGCTCATCGAAATTCGAACACGCTGAACATCTGAAGCAGAAATGGTGAAAAACAAAGTGCCTGCATCCATGGAATAAAAAAGTATTTTTATGACATGGTATGTTACATGCAACATACACACATAACATACAGTGCATCGTGCAACATACACACATAACATACAGTGCATATTAATTATATATATTATATTGCACACATGCACATGTACAGAACACATTGGCAGTAAAAATCAACACCACCAAGTTTCCGAGGAAGAGTCCGAAGAAGAACTGGAACCCTTTGAGGCTTTGCTGGTGGACGATGACGACTTCTTACGTTTCTTTCCCTTTGACTTCTTGTTCTCATCATCTTTGTCAAGACACGAGAAGAGTTCTTCCACCACTGTGTCCTCTCGATCCTCCTCCCCTTCGGAGTCCCAGACCAGAAAAAGTCGAAGGGCCTGTCAGAACATGACTGGTCCATGAAGGGAACGGTTTCTTAAGGATTCTATCTCAGAATGAAATACCATAGCATCAACTTAACCGAGATTCAAAAAAATGTATGGATCCCATGGATGAATAACATCTTTTGGGTCAGGCCAGAGGTCAACATAGAAAAACAAACCGCTGTGTATGGCTGTGTTCATATCCATTGGTGGGTTTTTTCTTTGCAACTTGCATGTGACATTCTGCATGCACAGTTTCGTACATGGGTTTTTTTTCATAAATGTACAATGTACAATCAGAATATTGAAACACTCAAAGTGTCATAAATGTGGTTATCGTTGCGGTGTAATACAATACATGGTGTTGATGCCAAATGAAATACATTCAATTCATTTTTTGACATGTACATACAAAAACATATAATATTGTAATAAATCTGTGTCGATGAAATGGTTATATAAATGCACACATTTTCACAAGGATGATCTATTGTGTATATGTGCGGTTTGTGCACTGGTTCGATCACGTGTTTAGAAAAACAACTATTCTAGGTAAACATTTTTTAGATGAAATTGCAGCGAAAGAAACTATTTGATATATTGCATAATAAGATACATTCATTTTAACACTATAACAACATGTTATTGTTAATTCAATATTGCTTTTCACATATTATATCACATGGGTCCCAAGACCAGCCGGCCTCATTGTTGTGCATGTCCGGGTGACTTTTTGCGTGGGTCTTAGCAAGTTCCGCATCTGCAAGTTTCGAATCGCAGATCTGATTTGCAAGCTCCATGTTGTTGTCGTATTTCTGGGCGATCTGTTGCCTAGTAAGCCACCTTCGGCAACCGTAACTCGAAGATGACTTCCTGCTAACCATCTTGAGGTACAGCTCACTGGATCGCCAGTCACCCCCGCTTGAGCTCCAAGCATCCAAAAGGATCTGCAGTTTTTCATGGCCTCCATAGGTCAGAACGGCCCCATTGGATATGGTATGATATATAGCATGGTTTTTTGAACTTCTCAATCTCAAGTGATAGGGCTCGTCATATGTTCCAACAACTTAATTCAGATGAAGCAGGGGCTTGCTCAAAGCTTGATGCTTCTAGCATGAACCGTGCGAGGTTAGTGCACTACGTACTACACCTGGGTTATATAGACTCCAATGCAAGTATCATTAAATCATATTGAATCATCGTAATGCAAAAAATATCCAACATTTAACAATTTGTTCAGTGCATGTGGTTTAAGGTTTTGGGCAAGGCACAGTAAGAAGACGCACGTGCAGCTTGTCGGATCTCTTTAGGACATTTGTTGCCTCAAGAGATTTGAGAGGTAGTGCGTGGTTCACATGTTTATAAAACATATATGCAATATGCTACAATATGCTATAGTACATGTGAAATACATGCAAAATGTTCAAAGCTTTGAGACCTCGATGTGGTGTTATATACACGTAAATTTTGAAAGTTTGTCGATGCTACCGGTTTGCAAAAACAATGTAAAACAACATTAACACACGTGCACATCATGTTTCCATATCATCTCACCAAAATGTTGCGAACAACAGAAAATACATGAAATCCACAAAACAAGCAAGCATAGTGCATATGATCAGTCAATATATGACCCTAGGGTCTTGAGAAAACATGAGAAGATCAAATCATATCAATGCATGCAGGTCTATATGTAAAACTATGATATAACAGGTGCACTATTTATATCACACTCGTTGAAACCATATCTGTGAAATCACATGTGTTTTAACAAACGACTGATCACCCCAATATCTATATTAAATTAAATATTAAATTATATTATAATAAATGCACACATGCATGCACATATGCATATATTGTAGTATAATATATTATATGAGACCTACACGTACTACATTGCTGCTAAGATACTTTGGACACTGCGGGAAAATCTCATGTATCTTGCATGTGCAGCCTTTTGTGCTGGTGTTCTCTCTCGTCTGCCAGCTGCAGATTCGGCAGTGTTTGCTGGAGCCAGTTCTGTGGGAGTCGCTTCTGGTGTGGGAGTCTGCGCTGGTCCAAATCTTTCACCCGCACCTGCCAGATTCTAATTTTGTGGGCGATGGCGCAGCGGACTGCTTGGATGAGATCCAGCCTGGAGATGAAGATCCATCGACACGGCTGCAGAAGCTCACAGAGCGCATTGAGGCTGAGTTCCCGCCGGAGGAGATACTCTTGGTGTGCCCCCGCGGATGGTCTTGTTCCTTGACAGAGCACGCGCTGTGCGAATTGAGGAGATGGAGACGCAGGGCTGGCCGATTCCGATCTGGAACAAAACGGGAACTTGCAGCCAGACAAGCGAAGAGACAGGCTCGCATCAAAAGGATTTACAAGATTTTGGGCTTCAAGAAAATTCCCGCAAGATGCCGCTGAGTGATTGGAAAGAGTGACCTTGCCATCGAGTCTTCAAAGCTTGTGTTTTGGCCTTGATTTCAACCTAAGCCTGGAGCGAGTAGAGGGTGAGTTTTGGCGCGAAATTCGACCAATGTTTGGAGCTGGCGACCTTGCCATCGAGTCTTCGAAGCTTGTGCTTTGGCAGTGATTTCAACCAAAGCCTGGAGGGAATGACCTTGCCATCGAGTCTTCAGCGGGTGAGTCTTGGCGAGAAATTCGACCAATGTCTGCGGCTCGTGACCTTGCCATCGAGTCTTCAAAGCTTGTGTTTCGGCTGTGATTTCAACCAAAGTCTGGAGCGAGTGACCTTGCCATCGAGCCTTCGTAGCTTGAGTTTTGGCTGGACGTTCAACCAAAGCCTGACGTGGATGGAAAAAAATTGACATGGATGGGCCAGGACAGGATAGGGATTGATGACTCATGCCATGAACCACTGTTTTCACAGCAAACTCTTGGTCAATGGCAGGGTTGTAGCTCGATGCTATTACAATATTATTTAAGGACTGGTAGATGTTCTGAGATCTTGCTTGGGTTCAAGATTTGTCATCTTAAACCATTTTATAGCTCATCTCTTGGGAATCCCATTTTAGAAGACATTGCGGACCTCTAGTGGCAAGCCAATCTTATATGAGGCGCCAATTCTATAGGCGCCCATGATCAAACTATTTTGGATGGTTTCAACTTTATAGATGTTGGAGCTAGAACAGGTTTTCATATGACCTGGGTGTATCAATTTTCTAGTGTTGTTGGACTTGATGATATCGATGGGTTACTAGCAGGTTGTGATTTTTTTAGGCGTGATTATGCATGTGTTTGCCAGGGCTTCAATTTTATAGATGGCCACTCAAGGGCGTTTCCAAAGGATAGACTGGATACCCCATGATACCCCTTTAAAATTGGAACACCCAGGTCAACGGAGTGAATTGGCAAAGGGAATTATCTTAGTAGATTAAAGCACCGAAAATATCTGAAAATGGGATCATGATACCGGCGGATAGATTTCTGTACGTACTACTTAAACATTATATATATATATTACTGGCCTAAGGTTAAGGAAGTCAAAAAGTGACAAGATGTTTTTTGAGAATATTTGTTGGGTTCCATTGACTCAATATGATTCCAATAATTGATGTTCATTATTGTTACTACCCGAGTTCAACTGTTCAATGTTTGAATAATAACACCCCGGTTCAATGTTGAACTATTAGTACTAAGACCACTAATGGAAGAAATTTTCACTTTAGGCACTTAACGAACTTATAAGTATCTGATAAGTTGCTAGTATCTTGCTAATATCTTGTTTAAATTATTTTTTGAAAAAATAATTTTGAGTTAAGTTTCACTAATTTTTTTATTTGAGTTTATTACATAATAATGAAGATATAATCAAATATATTCGAATATTAGTGAAAAATATCTGAAAACATATTTGAAAATATCTGAAAATACCTGAAAATATCTGAAAATAGCTGGAAATCATTTTTTTTGTTTTGTTTTCATTTCGAAGTTGCTGCCCAGGAATAGTTGGAGAAATAGATACCTGAAGACTATGGTTCCTGTAAAGGAAAGTTCCAGTAAAGGAGATACCATCCTTTTCAGGAACTCTCCTTTGCTGGAACTTTCCTTTACAGGAACCATCCTTTTCAGGAACTCTCCTTTACTGGAACTTTCCTTTACAGGAATCATGGTTTTCAGGCACTTTCCTTTGCTGGAACTTTCCTTTACAGGAACCATAGTTTTCAGGAACCCTCCTTTGCTGGAATTTTCCTTTACAGGAACCATCCTTTTCAGGAACTCTCCTTTGCTGGAACTTTCCTTTACAGGAGCCATCCTTTTCAGGAACTCTCCTTTGCTGGAACTTTCCTTTACAAGAGCCATCCTTTTCAGGAATCCTGCAAAGGAAAGTTCCAGTAAAGGAAAGGTCCCAAAACGGAGCCTACTTTAAGCTAATTTATCTTGAATAAAGGAGAGTTTTCTGAAAATTCAGGTTCTTGAAAAGGAAAACTCAAACTTGAGAAAATTCAGACACGTCAAAATCCATAAAAATCAGAAAATACTTAAATACTAAAAAGAAGAAAATTCAGAATCCAAAAAAAAACAAAAACTCCCAAAAAAAAATAGAGTCCAGAAAATTTAGAAAATTCAGAATCCAGAAAATTCAGGAAATCAAAAAACAACCCAGAAACTTTATAGAAGCAAAAAAAGAATCCATAAATTCAGAAAATCAAAAAAGCATAGAATCCAGAAAATTCAGAAAATGGAAAAAATAGAATCCAGAAACTTTAGAAAATTCAACATCCAGAAAAAATAGAAAACCAAAAAAAATAGAATCTGGAAAAAATAGAAAATCCAGAATCCAGAAAACTCAGAAAATCTTAAAAAAATTGATTCCAGAAAATTTAGAAACCAAAAAAAAATGGAATCTAGAAAATTTTTAGAAAATTCAGAATCCATAAAATTCAGAAATCTAAAAAAAAAATAGAATCCAGAAAGTTTATAAAAGCAAAAAAAATAGAATCAAGAAAAACCAGAAAATAAAACAAAGGATCCAGAAAATTTAGAAACAAAAAAATGGAATCTAGAAAATTAGAAAAATCAGAATCCAGAAAATTCAGAAAATTCAGAATTCAGAAAATTCAGAAAATTCAGAATTCAGAAA